GTGGAAGCTCTACGTTCCTCCCCCTCTCCCTCCTCTTCCTCCCATCCTCTCCCCCTCCCCTCCTTTCGCACCCGAGCCACTTATTCTCGTTCTGTCGTTTCCATCCACGACCCTTAAAATCTATAAGGTGCCTTGCATATAAAATCGAGGAAAGAGAGAGGGAAAAAAAACAACTCAAAAATAGATGTGGGCTTGCGAAGGCGTTTGTAAACTGTCTATATTGCTGGCAGTAGAGTAAATCAGTATTTCAGGGAAAGTTGGCGGCTGCTCTTCCTCTGAATTGCATCGCCAACTGCCAACTTCTGTATGTAATAATAATCAAAATGTGATATTTTACCGCGCAGATCCGCCGGCACGGGTGCATCACAGGTGCCTTGTAATTGTTTACCATACCGCGTCGCGTATTATTTTCAAGTGCGATCGAACCTTGGGGTACAGGGGATGACCTGACTCGAAAAAAAATCAACGTACTCACCCCCCAAAATAATATAGAAAAGATCAGAAAAATTTGAAAACAAATTACCAAAAATAAAGAAAATTCCCCAAAAAATCAGAAAAAAATCAAGAAAAAACATTTAAAAAAATCGGCATTTGCTTGTATTTTTAGTTCTAGGTGGGACCTCTCGCACGTCCTCGCCGGGCGGACGACGTCCCTCTAAACGTCCAACGAGTACACGGCCGAGGACGGTATCGGTGGGAGGGAGGAGGAGGGGGGGGGGGCGTGTCTCGCGTAACATTTCCTTTCTCTTTCCGGGCCAGGAATACATAAGCCCCTCGCCGCACACGGGGGAGCCCCCTCCGCGCATCATAGGTGACCGAGTGCAGGGCAGTACGGGGCCGGGGCGTTGCGGGGCGGGGCGGGGCGGCGGAGCGCACCTCGCACTCGGAAGCACGCGTGCACTTCCGCACAGCCGTGGCGGTACGGCGCCCCGCCGAGCGCGCCCACTCTCTGCTGCTGGTCAGCGCTGGGCGCGCGGGGGCCCCCTTGGTTGTGTGGCGCGGCGGGCTCATAGAGGGCGTGGGGCCGATAGTGACACCGAGTCACAACAGCTCTAATACCTCCTAATGGTCCCGCTAGTACGTCACCGGGCGCGTTGTTTCGTGTCCGCCCTCGCGGTGACTCCTACTGACGCCATCCCCATGCAAACAATAACATTATTGTCCAGTGTGTTTCCCGTAGGCGAGTCCGATGACATGGCCGATATTTGCAGATTTCGCAATTAGAGGAAATTTGCAAACACATGGTTAGTGTGACGAAAAACCAACTGACACCAATGAACAACAAAGCCGCGCAAAGAAAAAAACTGACAGCTCACTCATTTTGCTTGTCGGATGTAATGCATGACTTTGCCACCTATCTTTAAAATTTTGACGGTCGGCGACAGAATGACGTCATCACCTGCAGCATTCGTTGAACTGCAGAGATACACCCCGACATTCTCTCTCTCTCTCTCTCTCTTTCTGGTCTCTCCATCTCCTCACTGTGTGCCCGTAATGGCGTTTCTTGTATTATCATTCTGGAACGGTGCGTTTGCGGGGCTGGGCGTGGCGTGGCGTGGCGTGGCAGGGCGGGGCGGGGCCGTCGGCCTTGGTGTCAACAGCTGCATGCCGGTGCACGCGGTGTGCGGGGGCCTGGTGCGAGGCCCCGCGAGGCCCGCGAGCTGGCCCGTCGTGCGTTTGGGAGGGCGCGGTCGGTCGGTCGTGGTGCAGGCCGCGAGTCTGCCGCGGACCGACTATGTGAGTATATGTGAGACGAGGTGGGACGCGCGTCTGCTGGGTGGATGCCCCATTGTCTCTTACCTCCTCCCTCTTCCTACTCCTCCTCCCCCTTGTGCTCGGTGCAATCAGGCATATATACTGCATATGATGTGACGCTAGACTCGCCCCCGTCTGCCGCGTAAAGGCCAGCGCCCCCGCGCACCAAAATGTCCGCGACGCGAGGCGATTGTGTGCGCATGACCCCCGCGTAATGAGAGTGTTAACTGACACACCTCACGTGTGCACCTCCAGGGGGAGAGGGGGGGTTTCCTTACGTCATGGACCACACCTAGAAAAAAATATCGTAGTATTCTTATTTCAAGTGACACGTATAGGTGTTTAACTTCTTGACGCAAATGATATTACCTTATTTCAATGAAGAACCTGTTCTTAATCCAAAGGAAAAAGCAGTCGTTAGTAAAATAATATCTTGGAAGACTTTTAGTACAAAATTAATATTAATTTACTTAAAGCAACTCTGTAAAAACAAAATGTTTTGAGACGTATCTTTCCTGGGTCACTAACCAAATTCTGAATTAAGTGCCCCGGTAGAGACACTAATAGGGCCCTGAAGGTGCTAAAAATAAGTGCCTTTGGCAGTTTCAGTTCCATTTTACAAGCCACGACTCCTTAGTCCCTTTTAAAGGTGGGACTTAGCACCTTTGTTTTTACAGTGAAAGAAAGGGGAATCATTTTCCTGGGCGTTCTTGTCGTGGACCGTCGTCGCGGAGGTGCGCAACATGCGGGCAACCTGCTAGGTCAAACTCTGCCCCAGCCGCCCCAGCAGGCATGGCTGGTCGCGCGCCTTCGCCGACGTGTGTGTGTGTGTGTGTGTGTGTGTGTGTGTTTGTGTGTTTGTGTGTGCACTTGGTTCTAGTCCTAGTTGCAGTGCACCCGGAAAAGTCCGCTCTTGAGATAAAAGCCGTCAATAATTTCCTTCTTCTGTAGTATAATGCAGTGTTCCTGCGCTAAGTATCTGCATTATATTAGGGAACATTTATTTACTTTGTTCCAAGAACGGTCTTTTCCTGGAGTGCGTGGGACGGGTATCGGTATCCTGCGTCTGCGCGACTATATACGGAATTTGTTGAACTTCATTCTTCATAAAAGAGTAACTTTTTTGTTCTACTTAAACACTGATTATTTCAACAAAAAAAAGCTCCTATAATTGTTTGTATTGAAATTGAAACTGCGAAAACTCACATTCAACTGTGAAAAATATCGTCGTAAATTTACAAAATTTTTATGAACTCGAATTATAAATTGAGTTGTAAATTTACGAGAGCACATTTTTTGCTCGCCAATGGATTTTTAGTCGATACGTGTACTGCATGTATTTTTACGATTTGAAATCGTAATTTTACAACTTGCGTCAAGGAATATTTTTCTGTAAACCTACCTACTATTTTTTCAGTGTCCTCACAGTGTAGCCACTGGCCTGCAGCGGCAGCGGCAGCAGCAGCTCCAGGGTCCTTGGCCTTATAACGCTAACGCCGTTCCGAGTGCGCGAAACGCGATGCACCGGCTGAGCCGAGCCGGGCCGAGCCGAGCCGAGCCGAGCCGAGCGGAGCCGACCTGCGGGAGGGCAAGGCTGCTGGGCTCCGCGCACCGCGCTCGGCCTTTCCTACCCTGCAATGATCATAACGCCCCTCCTCGGTAGCATTAGTAAATAATAGAGCTCTAACCAACTGCCGTTGCGCTTCCGACGCGGGCTCCAATCTCGCAGTGTGGTGCATGGGGCGCTCGAAGCGCTCTTCCTCCTGCGTTACAACGACGCAATAAACAGTGTGCAATGAGCGCCCGTCGGAATAAGATTTCTGCTGCAAGCAGTGTCGGAAGTCGAACAGGCAGATCGCTGCGAGAAAAACTTGTGAGGGTTACAAGAAAGTTGTGCGTCTTGTAAAACAATTACAATATTTGAAATTGCAATTAATTACAAGCATATTGTGTCGACTTGGAATTTGTTCACGAGCAAGAGTATGGGCTGTCGTCAATTTACAACATACTTTTTAAATAAAAAACAAAAAAACAATCAAAATGTGTTGTAAAGTTTCAAATACATTTTTCTTAGTAGAGTTTTAAAAGTTATCTCCGGCAGAGAACTTGCCTTACTTATGTTTTTATTTCTCTTGAAAGAAAAATGAATCGTTGAATCGCCTGTACCCTTTTTAAAATTTAATTGTGTGTGTGTGTGTGTGTTGGGGGGGGGGGGCGGCAAATTTTCAAGAAATAACAGCTAGGTGTCGTCTCCCTCTGTGTGCTATGGGGCAAAATGTTTCACACTTGAGTTTGCAGAGCATACATGCATGGGAACACCCTTTTCTGCTCAGCTCACGCAGGATAGCCAAGCTGGACTTGCTTTCAAAAGCTCTCCTCTCTCCCATCCCCCCCCCCTCTCTCTCTCTGTCTCTCTCTTGCTCGCTCTCTGCTCATTGTGCTCGGCGTAGAGAAACTGTTGGTATGGCTTACAGGCAGAGAAAGGGCCCCGTGACACGATGTAAACAAACGTGCCGCTCAGAACATCCCGGTGATAAACTTCATCGGGTGTCGGCCACACGCTAGTAAATCTACTCCGTCAAAAGATCATTATATTTGACTTCCGCCTCAAAAACTGTAATACGCCGGTATTAACCATGTTGATGACACTGGAAATATTTTGTAGAATCGGCCTGAAGTTAACCCCGCAGCTCAGAATGCAATCCCCTGCCCCAGGCTTTATGGCATCTCAAGTAAATCTTGAGCACACGCCAGGCAGTGTGCAAGCTCGGCCACAGTCACCATCAGGCGCGTCGAGACTAAAACCTGTCAATGTCTCTCAAATCGTTTGGTTGAGATAGATTCATCCAGAGTACACACATGACCGTCATTGTCATTCGCCTGCCCAGCTCAGCCTCTGCGAGCTCCTCTTAGCGCCTGATGGGTAGGCAACAGCCCGCCTGCAAGGCATGCCTGCACCGCGGGGTGGCCTATCCCGAGTCTCACAGGTGCCGAGCTCCCAACATTTGCAGATGAATGAATGAGTGGAAAACGCTGGCGTTCCTTCTGGACGACACCAAAGAGCCGGGGAACACAAACAAAGAAGCACACAACTCAAACTTTTAAACAATCCTCTATCAACCACAAAAAGAGCAACAGAAATAATCCTGATTACAGTGATATCCTATGGGAAATTCTGAGTGTTGACGTTTGACGTGTATTATTTTGTGTGACACTTTTTAATTATTTTTTTTTTATCTCGGCAG